GGACAGTTGACCCTTGAACAACACCCGTTTGTACCTCGCAGGTCCACTTATAGATGGGTTTTGCCTCCTCAGATCAACCAACCCCTGATTGAAAACAGTATTTCAGCATTTCCAACCGCAGATTCTCAACCAGGAATTCCCAACCACAGATGAAAACAGTATTTTTGATATATACTGGTTGAATCCTCGGATATGAAGGAAAAATACATTAGAAAACTTCGTTGAAATAAAAAGTAATTTAGAAATGCACCACTTACAAAAACTGATTCAAGAAGTAGGAAACTTTAATAGTTTTGTAACCATTAAAGATACTGAGTCAGCACTTTAGTCTCTTGTGTTGGGTTTTCTGAGATATTTTCCTTCATATGGTGCAAGAATATTTGACTATTGAATGCATATAAATTGATTTTTAAATACAATTTAATTCCAATTTAACACCAACTATTCCAGACTATAGAAAAGAGAAAAATACTCCTTGATTCTTTATGCACTTTGCACAACCTTGATTCCAAAAATTGGCCAACGTAATACAAAGAAGGAAAATTACAGTCAACCTCAATCATGACTATAGATGGAAACAAACAAACAAACAAAATATGAGCTAGCCAAGTTACCCCAGGCATACATTAACGCACTGGGATGTTCTACTTCTTGACCTGGCTGGTGAATACATTGAGTTTTTTAAGACATTATCCTTTAAATTAAACAAGTACATATTTTTAAACTGCATTTCGTACACTTTTCTGTTTTAGGCTATATTTCATAATCATCATCATCATCATCCCTCAGAGCACCTGACACACTCAGTCTTTCCCATTAAACTCATCCGTTCCTCAAAACCTCTCTAAAACCTCTACTGGGTGCTCCACGAAGCGTGGCCCACACAAAAGCAGCAGCAGCAGCACATGGGAACTGGTTAAAAATGAAAATCTGGACCCCAGGCAAACCTACTGAATTAGAAATCTCTGGAGGTGGGACTCAGGAAGTTCTCCAGGTAATTTGGAGGCTCAAGTTTGGGAAGAACTGCTCTACTGATAGCCACAAGTAATAGAGGGCTTACAAGCAAGAGGTGGAATAAAACCCAAGAACTTGAGCCAGAAGCAACATGGTACCTCAAACCACACCCACTGCCTTGCCTGTAACACATATTGCACCATGCTGAGTTTTCCTTCTCTGAGGAACCAGCTGCACCTGGACCATTCTCATTTCACAGTAAGAATATGATCATTTTTCAATGACTCACACCTGAACATATGTCTCAATTATAGGACAATGGTTCTTTAATTATAATACAAGATTCCTTCTCCTCACTGTTCACTGTGAAGCCACCCAGAGTAAATTGCTGCTCTAGCTCTGAGTGAAGGGAAAATAAGTTCATTCTGAATTATCCAGGGACAAGGACTCTCCTTAATTCATCGACTAATCATCCATCTGTGGGAATATCCAAAAGTCCTCCTCCTTCCTGTTCCCTCTCTTTTGTCCTCTTCAGTGTTTCCCAGAACATTTTCATTCACAGAAAAAACAACAGAAGGTCACTTTCATGTAAGTTCCTCAGTTCCTCAGGATACCTGTAAATGATTCACTGGGCATATAGAGACCAAAACAACTGGCCAAATAATATGTATTTTAACTATGAATTAAAATGCTCATTTTAACATATGAATAAAATAACCTTAAGAAAGTTAAAGAGCCATCAGTGATAGAATCAGAATAAAATTTGATTTTTACAAAATCAAAGAAAAGACAAAAGAATTAATTAATACAAGCACTTTGAAAAACTGTTTGGCTAGCAATATCTATAATAACTAAATATACCCAAAATCTGAAACATTCACTTCTAGTACATATCCAATAGAAAATATGTATATATGCTCACCAAAACCATGTACAAAAATGCCCATAGCAGTACTATAGCACTATGAATATTAGCAAAAAACTAGAATCAATCCTAATGTCCATCAACAGTAAAATGTATGATAAATTGTTGTATATTCGTGGAATATGCATACTCTACAATACGGAATACTATTTAAATGAAAATGAGCAAACTACTGCTATATTTAAGAGCACAAATATAATGTTGAGTGAAAGAGGTGTAAACTAAAGAGTATATACTATAAAATTCTGCTTCTATAAAGTTCAAAACTATTCTAAGGTGATAGAAGTCATAATGGCATCTATCTCTGAAAGAGAGACTAATAACTGGGAGGGGGTATGAAGGAGGTTTACAGGGAACTGGTAATTTCTAAATATGAAAGATGGTTCTGTAAAACTCCTCTGTATAAGTTAACCAATTTTACATTTATGATTTGGCCATTTTTCTGTTATACTTCAATTTACCGGTAAAAGGTTCCTTCAAAAAATGTTTACCTTTACAAAATAGAAGAGAGAGAGAGGGAAGGAAGAAAGCATCACTAAAGTAGATTCTTTGGTGCCAAACTCTCTGATTTAAGTAGTTCCTTAGGTCAAATACCAGCTTTGCCACTTATTAGAATGTGACTTTGGTTAAAGCATTATTTAAATTCCTCTGTAAAATTAAGATGCAGTAATTCATTCATCCAACAAAACTATATTGAGTGCCTACTATTATAGGCAATTAGGATATAGCAATGAGCAAAACGCACCAAATTCTTATCCTCATAGAGCCAATATTCTGATGAGGAAGGGAGGAAAAATGTCTCCTCTACCTACTTCATAGAATTTCTGTGAATCTTGAGAGAGGTCGGGGTAAGAACCTGCTACTCAAAATATGGTTTGTGGACCAGCAACATTAGCACCACTTGGGGATTTGTTAGAAAGGCCAATTCAGGCCCCACGCCTAGACCTACAAAATTGGTACCTCATTTTAACAAGACCTCCATATGAAAGTTTGCATATTAAAGTTTGAGAAGCACTGTGTGAATCATAAAATGCTGTCAACTGCAGGCTATTACTATTATTAATCATGTTCATCAGGAAATTTCCACAATCCTGCTTTGTAGCTACATTCCTATTCCAGGAAATAAGGTATGTGAGGTTAAGAAAGTACATGTTTACTCCCGTCTTAGAAGCTGCTCTACCTCCAGGACATGCTGTTTTTGGAATGTTTTCCTTCTGTTTGTGCTTTAAGTCAGCCCCAGTTTTCCACATCAATAAACCCCTGCACCCCACTGATGAAACTATTGATGAACTTTATTGCTGGGTTTTTCAATTGGTTCAACACCATTTCCTGGTCATTCAACAGTGAGCCCAGGAAGAGTACTTTGAAAATGTAATAAAATGCTGAACAATACAGCCCTTAGATGTGCAGAGTCTTACTGACATTTTGGAATGTCCCAGGCTCATTTTGTGTCTTTCATCTCCTAGCTGTTTGGTGAGTCTTTAATCAGACTTGTTCCAACAATGCTTTGTGGAAGTGAGAGCCCAGGAAGCTGCTGACTGTCTGGTAGGGGAGGATGTTCTGAGAATAGGAACTAATCAGGCCTTCGACACTGTCTTATTAGGCAAAAAACCAAAAAACAAAAAACTTTGTCAAATTGTTTCTACAGTAGTGCTACTCAAAATTTAATGTGCATACAATCACCAAGAAATCATATTAAAATATAGTTTGGATTCACTAGGTCTGTGTTGGGTCTGAAGATTCTTCATTTCTAGTATATTCTCAGTTGATACCAATGCTATAGGTTCCTGGGCCACACGTTGAGTAGCAAGATCCTATCCTGCAGGAACTCAAAAGGAAAAAAGCGCACATAACTAATTTTGGTTATCTTCTGATAAAAACCAATGCCCAGCAAACCAAAGTAAATTGACTTCCTGATTCTTTAGAAACATAGAAATTAAAAGATTCATCTTAAAACTATAAATGTTTTAATATTTAAATGTAGCCATTTATATAAAAACTGAAATATACTAAAATGTTAAGATTTGTGCTTTCTTCTCTTTTATTGTTTCTAAATTTTCTAAAATAAACATTATTTAATTTTATAATATGACAACAATAAATTCTAGTTTTTAAAATGTATATTTTTACTAATTATCCTAATTTCATGCTAAAGCCTCTGAATGCTGGGTAAAAAGTTCTTGACTTTGCTATAAATATCAGGGAATGTCACATATGTTCAGATTCTCTGTCTCTTCTCTCCACTCCCACCATAAGGACAATTCTGAGGGTTACAAAGGTCACGTTGCAATGGACGCTAAATATCCAACATTACATTTTTTAAGGTAAAGATTTGTCCTTTTAGTTCTGTCATCTTAATGATGAATATGTATGTGGCTTCATTAATAGTAGATAGCCACTACTCTCTAAGAGCCTTTTGTAATCAAAAAGTCTTAATAGAGAACTCTGGCCTTCCCAGAAGCACTTCATGAATACCTTTGACAAATTCATGATTATCTTAAAGAAATTCAAAGACACAAGCTGGTTCATTTTCAAACTCTTGAGACAAAAAAAAAAGCAGTTAAATAGAGATTATTGTTGATGCTTTGGTCCTACTGGACTGGAGCTTATCCTCTTAACCCCTGCCTTACATTAACTACCTCTAATGAGGCTTAATGCTTCCTGAGCACTTATGCACCAGGGACTGTATTAAATGCATTAGATGGATTCTCTCATTTAATAGTCACACAGCCTATTCCCCCTATTTTATAATGGGAAAACAACATTAGGGAGGTAACATAGCTTAACTCTGAATACACAGTAAGTGGCAGACAAGGCGGGAAGCGACTGATTCCAGGCACTATTGTCTCAGTGGCACTTTGTAAAAATCAATGAGCCTATCAAAAATACGGTTGGTACTGAATCATCTCACATTTATTTTCTGGTTTTCTAGGCTTGGATTTAACCCCATATTTATTCATCAGCTGTTTTCATTATGCTCATCCACTTGCCATTTTATAGCCACCAGTTAACTATATCTTGTTCACTGGGAACGTCAGAAACTCTCCTATTTTCCTAAATTAACTCTATCTGTGGCTTTTTATTATTTTCTCATTTTTAAATAAAAAATCAGAAAAGGATGTAAATTGCTGTTTCTTATCATCACCGTCATCATCATTCTACATGTTACCGGGTTTTCGGTCTTATTTTGGCTCAATTTTTCTCATTTGTGTTGTAAGTTCCTTTTGGGTAGGGACCATGTCTTTTCATTGAAAACAACAGAGCTTCAGAATAAAAGCCTGGAGGGAAAAAAAAAAACTGTTAACAATTGTTGCTTCTGGGTTAATGGGCTTATGAGTGATATTTATCCTTTCTGTACTTTACAAAGTGCTTATAATTAGACAAAATTATTATTTTAAATCATGTTAACTTTCCCTATCTAGGATAGCATATATTGATTTCAATTAAACATCAACACTAAAAAATATCTAGGAGTAACAAAGTAAGAAACAAAATTTCTACATTAAACCCAAGGCAAGAGCTGTATGTGTTAAAGGCCTAGTGAGAGGAGGGCCACTCCCACAGGGAGAAAGGAGAAAAGTTGGAGGGAAAACATTGTAGTGACCTCACCATTGCTCCCCTGAATCCAAGTGGCCCAGGTTTCTATACCTGCAGAATGCTTTCCATAGGCTTACAGAATGAAACCTGACTGTGTAGCTGAGCTGGCATGACTTAGTGGTTGAGTGTCAGCCTATGAACCAAGAAGTCACAGTTTGATTCCCAGTCAGGGCACATGCCTAGGTTGCGGGCTCAATTCCCCATGGAGGGTGTGCAGAAAGCAGCCAATCTATGATTCTCTCTCAGCATTAATGTTTCTGTCTCTCTCACTCTCCTTTCCTCTCTGAAATCAATAAAGAGATAGTAAAAATAAAAATTTTAAAACCTGACTGGGTAAAGTACAGCATAAGGAATATAGTCCATAATCCAATATATAAAAACCCAGGGTCCGTAATGACCAACTGAAGGCTTGTGGAAGTTACTCCTGCAGTCAGTGCTGGGTTGCAGTGTGGGCATAGCAACCCAGCACTGACTGCCGAGGGGGGCTGCAGATCAGGCCCGGAGAGAGAGGCAGGGTCTGATCTGCAGCCTCGGTGGCAGCTGTTGATCAGCTGTTGCCTCTCTCTTTCTCTCCGGGCTTCACCAGCAGCCAAACCTTTCTCTTTCTCTCCAAGCCTCTGCGGGAGCTGCTGATCAGCCCCGCCTCTCTGATCAGGCCCAGAGATAGGCCTGGAGATGCTAACTAGCATAGAATCCGGCCAATCAGAACCAAATCTGGGTGAACTGTGAGGAGCCAATGGCTGCCTAGGAGGCAGAGCTTTTCACACTGACTGGCATAGAAACCAACCAATCAGAACCAAATTGGCCTGCAGAGGAGGGCAGTTGGGGGCGAGATCAAGCTGGCAGGGAGCGCAGTTGGAGGTGAGATCAGACCAGCAGGGGAGGGCAGTTAGGAGCAATCAGGCAGGCAGAGGCAGTTAGGGGTGATCAAGATGGCAGGGGAGAGCAGTTAGGGGCAAGATCAGGCCAGCAGGGGAGGGCAGTTAGAGGCAATCAGGCAGGCAGGCAGAGGCAGTTAGGGCAATCAGGCAAGCAGACACATGAGCGGTTAGGAGCCAGCAGTCCCACAGGGATCGGGCCTAAACCAGCAGTTGGACATCCCCCAAGGGGTCCCTGATTGGTGAGGTTGCAGGCTAGGCTGAGGAAAGCCCCCCTCCATGCATGAATTTCGTACACCGGACCACTAGTCTTACTAATAAAAGCCTTGGTGGTCGTCACACTGTCACGCTGTTATGCCCTCACGCTATCACAATCCATCATCAGGAGGCAGCCAATGACAAGGCAGAATAGGCCCTTGACATCAGGGAGGGACAGGACCTGAGCACTTGGCGCAGAGGGAATAGGACAGGCTCCATGAGAGGGAATGCAGAGCCAAGCTGCAGTTACACTCAGCCTTGAACTTCAGTTTCCTGGTGAGTGTCAGGTAGCTCTCCCTGCCTTCACCTAATTTCGAAGTTGAGACTTCAGAACGTGGCTCAAAAGACTGAGAGCCTCTGGGGTGGTTGGGAAGGCAGGGGGCGAGGTGGCCAGCAAGTGGATTGGCTGGAGGCGGGGCAGCAGGGTTCCGGGATTGGCCGGATCTGAGAGGGCAGGGCCAACCTTTAAGAGGTACGAGGGGGAGTGTAAGGGAGTGTGCACTTGTGTCTGCCACCGGCCTGCCGGGTTTACTCTTGCACGGCTACTGTGGCAGTGGCGGCAGTTACTAACCGAGCCCGGACGGAGCAGAGGCCAGCAGAGCAGAAGAGCATCCCAGTATCCCAATACCAGGCAGGGTGGCCCACAGGTCATGGCCAAAGGAGAGGGCGCCAAGAGTGGCTCCTCAATGGGGCTGCTGCCTATAAGCCTCCTCCAAGTTGGTGAATGCCCGGCCCAGGTGAAGGTGAGAACCTGGCATCTGGGTGGAGAGCAAGGAGCAGCAGCGTCTGTGGAGCGTGCAAGATGTCGTAGGGCAGCGGACATGGCCCTGATGGCAGGTTAGGCCTAGGGGACCCTACACATGCATGATTTAATTATGCCCTGGGCCTCTAGTCTATATATATGGAAGGTTAAGTGACCGTCTGACCATCCGACAAGTAGCTATGATGCACACTGACCACCAGGGGACAGACACTCAATGCAGGAGCTGCTGAGCTGCAGTGACTTGACAGTGGCAGTTCTCGAGTGACGCACCCAGGAACTAAAGAGGAAAGAGCCCAATTCCGGGGTGCATCACCCAAGAACTGCCCTCTCACAATCTGGGGCCTCTTGGGGGATGTCAGAGAGCTAGTTTCAGCCCAGTCCCCACAGGCCAGGCCGAGGGACACCACCTGCCAGAGGGACCCCACTCCCTCCACAGATGCCCTTTGAGCCACAGCACCGCCCCAGGTGCAGCTGGCCGAGGAGGGACCATGGGAGGTTGGCTCCAGGGAGTGTTCATCCCATCTCGCCTAGCCCCGCCCCACCAGCCACCTTCTAATTAATTTTCTTTCAGTGTGCACGAATTTGTGCACTGGGGCACTAGTATTGTAATAACTGTGCATGGTGCCAGGTAGGTACTGGAAATATCAGGTGGACCACTTTTTAAAGTATATGACTATCTAACCACTATGTTATACCCCTGAAACTAATAAAAAATAATATTGAATGTCAATTGTAATTGAAAAATCTAATTTTAAAAAACCTCACTATGTTTCACATGAGGGAGACAAGCACTATAGTAAAAACATAATTATCACCTGCCCCAGTGCATGGGGCCATTGAGAGTCCCAGAGGTACTTTTTCTAGGTAGTGTGATGCTTCTGAAATTTTGTCTGTGATTGTTTTAATCATAGATTCTGATATAAAAAGTAATGAAGCTAATTCGTTCTGGAAAACCCTTTTTCCTTCTATCTCAGGCAAAAAACTTAGAAGCTAAAAAGACTTGTTTGTTTTTTTTAATGAGGATTTATTTGTCTGGAATTGCTAATATTTTGAAATCAGTAGAAACCATTGCTGGCTGCTTCCTGATGCTCTCATTATTTATTGTTACTCCTTCTGGTGTCATCAGTTGTGAACTGGTGACACCACAGTGCATTGTCTGTGTTGTATTCATCACCCAAGTGCTCCTGAGAGGACAGGTGGTTGAGAGAATGACAGAGAAAATATTGGAATCTCTCCTAGGCATGAGTCAGAGAGGAAGTTGCTAGTCTTTGTGGCCCACTGAGGGAATGCATGCTGTGCTCTGGAAGCACCCAGGGAGATCCCCAGCTGTCCTTGTCAGCACAACCCTGACAGGAAGATCAGAATGGCTGCTCCAAGATGGGGCCAGGCCACAAAACAGAAATTACAAGTGACAGAAACAAGGGAAATGGGAGAGGGCGAAGGGCTGGGGCAGACTTTGAGATGAAGTTCTCTAAAGAATGAAATCTTCTACAACACCTCTGGGAGGTGGGAAGGAGGTACAATTCAACAACAGGTTTTTCTTAGTTCCTTCTGGAAATACAGGTTTTCCTCTGGGCCAGATCCTAATGAGGTAGCTCAGTGAATCCTTGAAGGACAACCATTAAAGGCCTGATGTCATGATTTGTAGACCGATTAACCAGGTTCAAATCCCACTTCTGACAGTGATCTCAGGTAGTTATTTAACTCTCTCAGCCATGGCTTCTTGTCTGTGAAATAAATAATGGTACTGAACCCATAGAAATGCTATAAGGATTAAGTGAAGAGACATTTAAAAAGTACTGTGTATGTAAAGTACACCGTGCCTGGCACACAGTAAGCCTACAAACAAATGATAGCTATCATTAATTATGTGTGTGTGTATGTGTATAAAATTGTGTGTATTCATATAAATAAATGTATATATATAAATAAATGTATATACAGGGTGGAGCAAAATATGTTTACAGTTGTTTTTATGGAAAATAATACAATTATTAATAAATGATAGTACCAGAATAAACTCTGTGTTTCACATGCTCACAACTGTAAACCTACTTTTGCTCCACCTTGTATATATGCATATATACAAGGTATCTTTGGGATACCTTATTTATTTATTTTATATCTTATGGCAAAGAAAGATTTGAGAAGCACTTGGTTTTGGTTTTGGATTTATTGAAAGTGATTAAAAGGATGTGAAATATTTTATATGTCAGCTCCCCTAAAAATGAGTCCAAATAACAAAACACCATGATAAAGTTATTTTGTCTTCCTGGTTAATGGCTTTCCAAATTCACTGAGAGTCAGCTTAGGTAAAATGATATTTGTCTGTTTTTGTAAATATGTTTTTGTTGGTTGAGTATCATCCCATGCACTGAAAGGTCACCAGTTTGATTCCGGGTTAGGGCACATATCTAGGTTGTGGGTTCAGTCTCCTGGTTGGGGTGCATGCAGGAGGCAACTGATGTTTCTCTCTCATATTGATATTTCTCTCTCTCCCTCTCCTTTCCTGTCTCTCTACAAGTCAATAAAAATATTTTAAAAAACAGGCAGAGACTAGGAAAATATTTACATCTCAAAGGGGCAAAGAAAGAATCTACAATTGCAATTACCACCAGGTACCACCTGTTTTAGGTTAGTTCCCCACTCCAATCTATAAGAACATGTCTCCTGTCGTGCTCGTGTGGACATTCCCACCATTTGAGTCATTCCCCATGTCAGACAAAGATGGGTGACAGTTTGTAAAGACCACTGTTACCATGCTGGTGTGTTTTGGGGGCAGCAATGAAATATCTGCATCTCTATTAGCCGTGCTCTTGGGGCGAGGCCCTCAGCAAAATGTTGGAATAGACAAAGGTTCTCCTCCCTTCCCCGGCCCCTCTTAATGTTTCAGACACCCGTGCCCCCAGAATCTCTCCTTTCCTTTCTTTTCTTCCCAAAAATCTTGCTCCTGAATCTTATACAAAATGTAAAAAACTGGCTAAAAGTTTAGAGGAAGCCAGAATGTTTATACTAACTGAATCTTACACTACATGGTCTGACCAACAGTGGGTTGGAATCTTAACAGACCTTCTCCTTGATGCTGAAAGTGTCCCCTCCACAGTGAACCACAAGACAGGAAAGTACCAGTGGGGACCCAGCCTGACAAGGACCAGCCCTGCAAGGGTCTGTGCCAGGCCAAGGAAAGCAGGCACTACAGTGAATGACTGGAGATGGGGGAGGATGGAGATTTTTGAGGTGCTTGAGGAAAGATGTCAAAAGGATATGTTTAACCAAAGTGGGGTGATGGAAACCAATGTTTGTTTCCTCCCTCTTACTTTTGCTTACGATGAGCTCTAGAGATGAAAAATAAGGAACCAAAAAAAAGGACCCTGCTATCCAATTCTATTCCTCAAGCATCACCTCTAGCCTTTCCTTTTGGCCTCAAAGCTATTTTGTGAGAGGAGTTTGCCATACTTCAAATATGAATACAATTGTGTCTATATCTACTCTCTCCAACAATGCCAGTCTTAATGTATGTCCCCAGAGCATTGTAAATGAATACTAGTATATATAAAGTAGAAGAAAGAGTGTTTGGTATGTTATAAGTGCTATATACATTGTAGCGATTACCTCATCATTATGGTGATGGTATTGAAGATGGTGAAGATGATGTGACGATGGTGGTGATGATGATGATGATGATAATGATGGCACCACAGCCCTGATTGTGAGCCATCTTTGGCAAAGGCAGAAGACAAAAGTGCCCTGGTTATAGCTGCTGGGTCAGCATCATAAAACACAGAAACTCAGTAAATTTCCAAAAAGGAAGATGTAATCATCCTGTTCATTGTGAAGACATAAGATAGAATGAGTGGTATTTTTCTAGGGACAGCCTTCCCCAAGGATTCTGGTCTTACTGCCTTGTATCAATCAACCCTGAAGGTAACTGAACCTATCCTTATTTGAGGTTACCCAGCACCACAAACAAATGCAACATCTGGATGTGGAGTGTTCCCAAATCTGGTGACATCTCCTAAGATATTTCTTAGAAGAAATTCATCAGTAACTCGGATATAAAGAAAAGTTCTGTGATATTTGAGGAATGGTCTCTCTTTACTCCTATCAGCATCCTTGAAAGTTACCAGTTAGATTTATTACATAACAACAAGAACCACCAAAAGCAGTTCTGCTTCCTGGGGAATGCCAACTTCCAAAAAAAGCAATAGAACTGTTGATATAGAGTAATTGGATGGTAAACTGAACCAGCAGGGGTGTTTTGGTGATACTTTTTTCTTAAAAGGGAACAGTGCAGTAAAGACAGTTTGTGTTTATGCATGACCTAAATCTTTCACTTCCTCTGGCAGAAAAGAAGCAGATGTTCAGTGCAGGGTTGGGGAGGGAATGGGGAAGATGAAGGAAACAAACTAAATTGTGATTCAAGTTGTTCTTTAAAACATCAGCCAGATGCTTAGTCTCTCATGTAAATGCTTAAAACTTCAACACAGAATAGTCTCTTCATTTTTACTCATACATCAATTCTTTGTGCTCTACCTACTTGTCCTTTCTTTAAAGGTGCAAATGTAATAAAAGCAGAGTCAACAACTAAACAGCCATCTTCTTAAAAAAATGGTGCTGGGACAATTAGATAATCACAAGAAAAAAATGAATTTAGACCCTTCATAACACAAGCAAAAATTAACTCAAAATGAATCATAGACCTAACGATTCTTATTAAGTGTAAGAAATAACCCTATGAACATTTAGAAGAAAACATAAGAGAAAATCTCTCTGACCTTGGATTAGACAAAGATTTCTTAAATATGATGTCGAAAGCATAACCTGTGAAACAAAGTTAATGAATTAAACTTTATCAAAATTTAAGAGTTTGTACCTCAAAAGACACCATTAAGAAAACAAAAGACGAGAAACCAAGATGGCAACATAGGTAAACACCTGAAATTGCTGCCTTGCACAACCACTTCAAAAATACAACTACAAGACAAAATGGACATCATCCAGAACCACAGGAAGGCTGGCTGAGTGGAAATTCTACAACTAGAAGGAAAGAAAAAAGCACACTGAGACTCAGAGGAGGTGTGGAAGTAAAATGCAGAGATACGGAGGCCCACGCAGAAAGGGCTGGCAACTGAGGACACGGTTGTCTTTTTCAATCGGGAGGGAGTCTCAGGCTCCTGACTGCTCTGAACTCCAGTTCTGGGCGAGTCTCTGGGGACCCAGACTCATTCGGGGAGAAACTGGACTGTCTGGCATTGGTAGGAACTCGAGGTCGGCTTTTTCTCAGAGGTGCTTGCAGCAATTGCCGCAGGACACTGAGACACGGGGCCTCTTAGGGTAGGACTGAGGATCAGCCATAGCTGCTTGCTCTGCCCTGTTGATCCCCTGAGACCTTGCCCCACCCAAGCTGTGCCCAGAGGCTTTTGCATATGAAAGGCCTAGCCCTTTGCAATCTGAAAATTACCTGACAAACTGCAGCTGGGTCAGAGAGACCCAGAACATCCAAAAGAAGGCCCAAGGCCCCACAGCAGCTTGCATTGCTTCACAGCTGGGCCTCATCTGGGCACCTGCAAATCCCAAACAAAGAAGAGGAATCTGAAGATATCTCCATAGCTCCTGCTGGGTAGCCTCAGGAAGAGGCTAAATTAGCACCTCCCTAGAGATCCAGGAGCCAGTGTACCCAGTGGTCAGAGTGGGACCATCCAGATTACAACTCCTCAGACCATAAGGGACACACTCAGGGGGCAGACTCAGTGAGCACCAAAACCCCACTGAAGCAAGTCTTGCACCAGAAGGGTGTCTCCAGCACAGAAGTTCTCCCACCATAGACACAGCTGATTCTCACAGCCAATTGGCCTGGAGGTCAATTCCTCCCAGTGATACCTACAATAATCAAGGCTTAACTACAACAAGTCTGTGCAAAAAGCCCACAAAGGGGTGCACCAAGAGTGTCCACCTCAGGTAATTGGGAGGCTGAGCCACTGGGCCCTAGAGGACAAGTAGCACACAAAGCCACTCTATTAACACAGGGAAGCATAAAAAATGTGGAGACAAAGAAACAGGTCACAAATGACGGAAATGGAGGACAGCAAACTACTGGATATAGAGTTCAAAACCACACTTATAAGGTTTTTCAAGAATTTTCTATAAACTGCCAATAAATTTAGTGAGACTCTCAAGAAATCTAGTGAGACCTTCTAGTATATGAAAAAGGACCAACTAGAAATTAAGCATACACTGACTGAAATAAATAATATTATACAGAGTTCCAACAGCAGACTAGAGGATCGCAAGAATCAAGTCAAAGATTTGAAATACGAAGAAGCAAAAAACACCCAACAGGAAAAACAAAAAGAAAAAAGAATCCAAAAATATGAAGATAGTGAAAGGAGCCTCTGGAACAACTTCAAGCATACCAACATCCGAATTATGGAGGTGCCAGAAGAAGAGAGAGAGCAAGATATTGAAAACCTATTTGAAGAAATAATGACAGAAAACTTCCCCTACCTGCTGAAAGAAATAGATTTACAAGTCCAGGAAGCCCAGAGAACCCCAAACAAAAGGAATCCAAAGAGGACCACACCAAGACACATCATAATTAAAATGCCAAAAGCAAAGGACAAAAAGAGAATCTTAAAAACAGCAAGAGAAAAAAAGTCAATTACCTACAAGGGAGTACCCATACAATTGTCAGCTGATTTCTCAACAGAAACTATGCACGTCAGAAGGGAGTGGCAAGAAATATTCAAAGTGATGAATAGCAAGAACCTACAACCAAGATTACTTTATCCAGCAAAGCTATCATTCAGAATTGAAGGTCAGATAAAGAGCTTCACAGATAAGGAAAAGCTAAAGGAGTTCATCACCACCAAACCAGTATTATATGAAATGCTGAAAGGTATCCTTTAAGAAGAGGAAGAAGAAGAAAAAGGTAAAGATACAAATTATGAACAACAAATACACATCTATCAACAAGTGAATCTAAAAATCAAGTGAATAAATAATCTGATGAACAGAATAAACTGGTGAATATAATAGAATCAGGGGCATAGAAAGGAAGTGGACTGACTATTCTTGGCGGGGAAAGGAGTGTGGGGGGTGCGGGAAGAGAGGAGGAGAGGGTTGTGGGAGGTGGGGGAAGAGACTGGACAAAAATCATACACCTATGAATGAGGACAGTGGGGGGGAGGGGGTTCAAGGAGAGAAGGTGGGGTCGGAACCGGGTGGAGGGGTGCTATGGGGGGAAAAAAGTGGAACAACTATAATAATCTGAAAAATAAAGATTTAATTTTAAAAAAAAGAAATCTGGAAAAAAAAAACCATAGACAAGCCAGAACAAAAAATATTCTCAAATCATATATCTGATAAAGGATTTATATCCAGAATATATAAAGATTTCTTAACAATTCAATGATAAAAAGATAAATAGCCCAATTAAAAATAGATAAAGATTTGAATAAACATTGCACTGAAGAAGATATATGAATGGCCAATAAGTAATTGAAAAGATACTTAACATTATTTGTCACTAGGTAAATCCAAATTAAAGTTGCAATGAGATACCACATCTCATTCACTAAAATGACTATAACCCAAAAGGCAGACAATAGCAAGTGTTGGTAATGATGTGGAATTTTTGGACTGGAACCCAGATTCTTTGTCTGCCGGAGTTGAAAAATGAATCCACGGGCAGAAGGTAGTATAGCAAAGGTGGAGATTTATTGAAAAACAAGTACAGACTCCCATGTGGGGAGAGGGAAAGAGTCCCACAGAATTGACTCCCACCAACTTCCTGTTTCCATGGTTCATAAAGGCTTCAAGTCTCTGTGTTCGGATATCCCTTCTGATTGGCCACTATAGCAACTCCTGAACTCAAAGGTCAAACACCACATGGGACATGTGAGGCCCTCCTCCCTCATTGTTCTTTTCTTTCTAGCTTTCTTCCTTCTTCTTTATTTTGTAAATATAGACCTTTTTGGTTACTTCCAGCTCCCTTGTCTTATGTAAATGCAACTATTGCTGCTTCCTGCACCTGGCTTCCTTGTGTTATGGAGATGTACCTTCTCCCAATCTGTAACCCTGTGTTTTTCCATGGACCCCAATTCTAAAAATTTCCTAAGCCTGCCTATATTACCCTAAAATTCCTGTTTCAGTGAGGACATGGAGAAACTAGTACCCTCATGTACTGTTGGTAGAAATGTAAAATAGTAACATTGGGAAACAGTTAGGCAGTTTCTTAAAAAGTTAAACATAAATTAATCATTACACTCAGCAATTCTACTCCTAGGTATCTACTCAAAAGAAATAAAAACATACATCCACCCAAAGATTAGCATATGAATATTCATAGCAGCATTATTCAAAACAGCCAAAACTGAAAAACAATCCAAATGCCCATCAACTGATGAATGAATGAATAAAACATGTTATATCTATACAATGGAATATTGTTTGACAGTAAAACGAATCAAGTACTGATGTATGCTAAAACATGAACCTTGAAAACGTTATGCTCAATGAAAGAAGCCAGTGACAAAAAGTCACATATTGTATGATTCTGTTTATATGAAATGTCCAGAACAGATCTATAGAGACAGCAAGTAGATTAGTGGTTGCCTGAGGCTGGAGAAGGGCTTTTTGAGGGTTCATAAAAATATCCAAAAATTGAGTTTTGATATTTTCAAAATTCTGTAAATTTACTAAAAATAATTGAATTGTATAATTTAAATGGCTTGTTTTTATACCTCAATAAGGTGTTTAAAAAGAATATAAAAAACAAAGTCGGCAAATATCCTATCTAATAAAGAGGTGATATGCA